AATTCCTTCTGGAAATACAGACACCACTGCAGTTACTCATGGAACGGAAAGCTCTTGGCATGAAACAGCAGCCACTTCAGGGTCTCATCCTGAGGGTGAGTTGTAAATCTTTCATCAGAATAAATCAAATTTCCATTAAATGTATGGCCAAACTAATTTCCAGAAATTGACTATATCCTTTAATTAGTCAACTAAATATTTAGAAAATATTGATATGTAGTTCATCTATAGCTAACATGAATGGATTATTACTGATTTCAAATAGTGGCACTATGTGTGTGGCAAGGGAGTGTCCCCCATATAACCATTTATTATATGGTCTTTTCAGATGAGTTTTGATCTACCATTATTGACTTTGCTGTCTACTCATTGTTTGACTTTGAGCAGATGACTTTTTTGGAACTTGTTTCCTCATCTGGGAAGCAGAAATCATTAATAATTACCTACATCATAGAATTTCCAGAAATGAGTGTAGAATATGGTACTGTATAGTTTTAGCTGCTATTCACTATTTTAGCTTTTCTAGGATGGTCAAAACTTTATCTCCAGAAAATAACTTAAATCTGTGGACAGTTTCCCATCTGGTAAAATTTCTTGAAATCATGTTCTAGAAAACATATGCTTAGAGTTCTAAACATAAAGTTGAAAGACCTTTCTTTGGTTTCTTTTCTTTTTTTGTTTTCTTTTCACACAGACAATTCAGAGCTTCCCAATGATGAGTGCAAAGAATATGAAATAATGTATTCGTCATCTTGTGAAACCACAAGAAATCCAACAGGCATTGAAGAATCAGCTGATGGAATCCTTTCAGGACCGGAAGATCCGAATTATCAATTATATGACATTTCTGGTAAACTTTCCTTCCTCTTTCAGCTTTATCATTGCATTGATCTGTCTACTACGTTTTTTGAAATATTTTCTTATGGTATTAGTTATTATTGTATTCCTACTTTAAAATGAAGTTTGTGTTGATAAAAGGTGATTGTTATAAATACTGTTTTCAAATATCCAAATATGAAATTGAAATTTAAGAAGGAAGTTTACTTTAAGGAGCTTGTTAAAGGAAAGTATGAAATTCAAGTTTAGCAGGAGGGACCAAAAACTCCCTGTAGTCATAAAATATTCATTCTGAAGAAAAGACTTTATTAACATGGATTCTCCTACACTTGAGTTTGTGAAATGTGCTTTTCTGGCATGGGTTTAATCAGTATAGATTTGTAGTCGGTTGATTTAAACCAGAAGAAATTTTTAAAGTCACTGAAAATGGCCAAAACCCATGAATACCTAACTTTATTTTCACCTCGTTTTAAAAAAAATCTCTTTGGAAAGTAAGTGTAAAAAGAAATAGTTATTCATATCTCTGCTTTTATATATAGATCTGTGATTTTTGTGAAGGTAACTGTGAAGTTTGGATTAGATTTCTAAAGTCTGTTGCCTTGTAAATTGATTTTTTAAGAAAAGGGAGGTGGTAATCCCATTTAAGCATTTAAGGTATTGAGTTCTACATCATATCTGGTGTACTTAACTACTGGCTACTTTGAATAGAATTTATTTAAGTGATGTGACACTCAGTGCTTTTATGTGTATGCTGTAAATTAAAAGGGTGTTTTGGTGGTAGAGTTTTGTCATAGAAGGATTGCATACACATATGAAGATCTTAAGCACAATTAATTGATTCAGTGACTTAAATGGTGTGCTTAAGTATGGTGGAGGTCAGGAGGATGGCACAGGTTGGGACAGAGTTTGGTCTGTTGTTCGTAGGGTTGCTCTGAGTAGTAGTTGACTCAAAGATACCGAACAGTGGCTCTCTTCAAGTTGGTTCAGACTCAGCCATCCCTCCGTGGAGTTTCCAAGACTCTAAATCAGACTTTCTGTTACTGAGACTGTAACAGCATTATGATCTTTCTCCTGAGGAGTGGCTAGTGGATTTTAAACTTTCGAAGAGATGCATTGAGTTAGCAGTGCACAATATATATAGACATAGATTATTCCTTATAGTAATGTTTTCTTATATTGTAATCAAAGTAATTTCTTACATCTTGGTTAATAATTAATAATATAGTAGCAAATTCTATTTAGCTTTGCATGCATATTTTTCTGTATTTAAAAGATATTTAGCCTGTATTGGGTTTTAGTCTGTAATGCTTTATGTATGTAGTTCTTCTAAGAGTGATTATTTTTCCTAAAAAAAGGAAAACACTTGACATTCTGTGACTAATAGGAGTGAAGAAGAGAATATTGTTACATAGTTGGTATGCTTGAAACATGCCAGAGCACACTAAAAAGAAAATAAAAAGTATTAGAAAATGGAAATTTAAAGAGTATAATTAACCACATTTATTGCCAGAAAGATAGCATGTTTTTGGTTATTGATGTTTTTTTACAATGTCTTGCTCACGTAGTTTAATAGTATCTGACTTCAAACTACTAATTACTACTACGTTTGCTTTTTGAGTTTTCAAGTGCCAAGATGTTTAGGGAAGTATGTTGTTGTTGTTAAGTGACGTCGAGTCGCAGGCGACTCATAGCGACCCAATGAAGGAGAGTCCTCAACGTTGGGTGCCTTTCATCCTCTCTCCAGGTTCATAGGGTTTCTGAAGGCAAGCTATTATGGAAGTGGATGCCACTCCTCCTTCCATGCTTGTTTAATCGGGGAGCTCCACCCCACTCTTAGTCCGCATTGGGTAGCCAACCATTAACGCATTTGATACATCCGTGTCACCGCGTTTAGCCTCACAGCAACCACAAGTGACCACGGGACGGCAACTTGTACACCAGGGCTACACGACCTAGAGGAATGTCTGAACAAAAACAATGAAAGACTTGCCAGCGGGCCACAAACTAAAAGTCACCCACCTTTGTCTTGGTCACATCGTTTTCTCTTCACTGGGCCAGCTGATCTCTCTCTATCTCTCTGTTGATGTTATTGTTGTTAAGTGCCGTCGACTCATAGCGACCCTATGAAGGAGAGTCCTTGACGCTTGGGTGCCTTTCATCCTCTCTCCAGGTTCATAGGGAAGTGTATTATAAAATAATATTTGGGTACTTTCAGTATTGTGAGTATAGAATATGTATGTTAAATTCAGCATTTATATAGTAAATTAGTTTTAACTTTTTTCTCTTTTTTTGTACTGGTAGGAGAAAACAATTCAGCAATTTCTACAGAAGATCTAAAAGAATGCCTGAAGAAGCAATTAGAATTCTGTTTTTCACGGTACACAAACTTTTTAATTGATCTTTTTCCTTTTTTGAAGTTTTTGGTCAATAGGTATAAAATATTCATGAATTGGATGAAGGAATGATAATTACCATTTCCCTGATAAATATTTCTTTATTCCCCCTCTTCAGTATATTTATTAGATACATTTTTTTTAAATTGAATATGTCAGAAATCTATGTTCAATAGAACGTAGCTTTTATCATACTCAAGTTTAGGAGTCTCAAAAAAAGTTTTTCTTACTATTTTCTCTTACAACTTTTCATCGTAGTTTGTTGTGGCTTTTTTGTTTGTTTTTAAAATAAAATTGGTTGATGGTGGTAGAAATTTTATTACTAGTGCCTTGCATAGGAATTTTTCATATCCTAGTGGCAAGGAGCTGCGTTGCCAACACACAGGGATATGGTTTGGATCTACCAGCAGCTCCACAGGAGAACGATGTACAGTCTCCTTTTGTGCAATTCACTGCCTCTTAAAACTGCTAGAATGGTCAGTGATGAATCAGTTCTGCCTTGACAGTACATAGCAACAGCAGCAGCGATGCCTTCCTTTAAAGAAGGACTCCTTTGAGACAGTTGTTGTAACTAGGATGGCTTAAGTATTTCTATATCTAGTTGACAGTTGACTCACTAATGGCAATCCCAAATATGTGCCACAATAGAACTGTGCTCCATCAAGCTTCCATTTGCTGATTTTTAGAGGTAGATTATCAGACTTACTCTTGAGGTGTCTCTGAGATGGGCACGCACCTCCATTCTTTTAGTTAACCATTGGTGCACCTTAAGCTTTTATACCACCCAGGGTATAAATATTTAGTTATTGTAAAACTTCAATTTGTAGAACTATCCCAAAGTAAATAGAATTTTGGATATTCATATAACTGTTAACTCTTCTGGAGATTCCCCCTCTCCTATTCCTCCTCACTACCCCCCCCCCCCCAAAAAAAAATAAACCAAACCAGTAGCACCTAACAAACAGACAGCTTCAAAAAAGATTTTACTTGACTAACAACATGGATATGCTTTTACTTCGGTTTTGTTTTACTGATTAAGATTTTTGTTCAGATTTTGTGTATAAGATAGAAATGTTAGCTTTTCTTGGAAGGGATAATCTGTGGTGTAAGCCAAAGTGTTTATAAAGTAGAGCTACAATATATGTGATATTATACAGCATGCTTTTGAATTTAAAGTTAAGACTCCTTTTCCAAAACTATTTCTCCAAATACTTTTGGGGATTCAAAAATTGTCAGAATGGTGTTGGAGTTTATCTATCTAATATGATGTTGCTGTCTTTTTTAACTGAATATTTTCTATTTTACTGTTTTTATTTTCTGATAATATAAATTTGTGTACCTAAACTTGGTGAATGTCATGACTAAAATACTAGATATTTTTAAAGAATTGCTTGTTTCATAGGATTGTTACTTTCTGTTTATTTCTTTTAGAGAAAATTTATCAAAGGATCTTTACTTGATATCTCAAATGGACAGTGATCAGTTCATCCCAATCTGGACAGTTGCCAATATGGAAGAAATTAAAAAACTGACCACAGATCTTGACCTAATCCTTGAAGTGTTAAGATGTATGTAAATAATACTATCTATTTGAATATCTACAAGTATTAATTTCTGATCATATAGGAGACTGTTTTTAACAGCATTATTTCCCCTATTCTTTTAGAATAATTTTTATTTGCACTTACTGGTATAGTTAAATCTGTATTCAAGATGTGGTGGTGGTGTGTGTCATCAAGTTCAAATTGACTACGTGATTCTCCAGCAGATTTTCAGAGGCTTTATTCACACAGGAAAAAATGATTGATCTTTTCCCTACAGAGCAGCTGATGGATTCAAACTGTGTGCCTTAAGGTTAACAGTACAACTTCCTATCACTGAGCAACCAGAGATAAATAAACAGCATAGGATGAATAAGCAATTAAATCTCAGTTCTGGGTTATTAGAAAGCAACATATCATATTTGTCATTTTAACAGATTCTATAACAATCTATTTCAAACTTTTTGTGTCATGTAAGGATTTTATTCTATCTCATAATTTAACACCACATACCTATTTGGGGAAAATCTGCTGTCAAGAACTTCTCCAAAGTACTAAAGACGAGGATATTTTGTTTAAAGACTAAGGTATACCTAATCCAGGTCATGATCTTTTCAGTTAAATCCTATGTACCTGGAAGTTGGACAGTGAGTAAGGAAGATAGAATAATTAATGCCTTTGAATTGTGGTGTTGGCAAACAATATTGTATTGCTATAAGTATATAGCTGTTGCTATAAGTATAAAGGATTGTCAAAAGAACAAGCAGATCTGTCTTGAAAGAAGTGCCGAGAGCTTCTTAGAAGCAAGGACGGTGAAACTTCATCTCACTTACTATGGTCTGTGTTTAGAAGGAACCAGTCCTTAGAGTCATCATTCTGGGAAAGGTAGAGGATCAGTAAAAGAGAAGGAGACTCCCACACGAAATAGATTGACACAGTGACTACCCCATGGCCTTGAACATGACATACATTATGAGGATGGTACAGGGTAGGAAAGGGTCATATCTGTTGTTTTCATGTTTACTGTGAGAACTTTACTCAGCATCACTTAACAACATGCACAACTGTGAAATATTTGTGAATATTGTTAATATTACTAATATCGTAAACATTTCTTTTCTAAAATTATTTTATAGACTGCTAATAAGTTGCAGCGTGCAGTGAGACAAACATTGAAATCAGTTTTAAAAATATTTCGTAGTGGGAGCTCTGGTGGCCTAGTGGCAAGAAGCTGCACTGCAATCCCAGAGGAATGCGGTTCGAATCCACCAGATGCTCTGCCGGAGAAGGAGGCGCAATATCCTCCTGTACCAGTCAGATCTGATTTGACGGTACACGCACACAAAATAATTAAAAAAAAAAATATTTCGTAGTGTTTGTATATTAGTGTTTCTTAATGACCTCTCTAGATTTTGTTTACTACTTGACAGAATAAAGCCACTTTTATGTATTATATATTACTGGAAAGATTTAAAATTAAGATAAATCAAACCTAATAGTAGATCTATATAGGGATAGAGGATTTCTGTTCTTAAGGGACTGAGAATATTTATGTGGTTTCTGATTAGTTTGTAAAGGTGTCATGTATTAAGGTGACCTAGGCTTGTCAACAAGTTGGCAAACGAATAGGTACAACCCACCATCTTCTTGTTTTGGAAATCAATACTTAATACCAGTCTTTTACCCTTGATTGTTTCATTTCACTACTCTGCACTGGAAGCTGAATTTTATACTACTAGTTTAGTTTTATTCCTGGGTCATTAATTGACCATTTAAAAGTTGACTTCTGGTTTTTTTTGTAGTATATAAGGGAATATATTAAAAATAAGGACAGCTTGAGAAACAGTGAACTCATAAAACATTAACAGCGTGGAGGAGCCCAAAGGACATTATACTGAGTGAAATATCTCAGTCACAGAAGGACAAATACTGCATAACACTACTGCTATAAAGTAGGACGGATAGGGTGGGGTTGGAGAGAGAACAGGAAAAGCAGCTAGATAATGAGCACTGCTTTAAAATAGATAGGGGGAAAAGTGTCTAAAAGGCATTATATGTGTAATAGCAATCTGGAACAAGGGTTGTATAGCAGGGTGGGCTGGGATGGGGGAAAGGAAATGTGCAACAATGAATTTATTTTAAAAGTTTAAAAAATTAAGGACAGCTTATAATCATTTGTGTATAGTACAAGACTTCAATTTTTTTAAAAGAAAGTTTTATTTTTCCATTCATGTACATTGTGTTTTATACAAGCATTCTGTTGTTGTTGTTGTTATGTGCCGTCAAGTTGCTTATTATTATTTTGTGTGTTTGTACCATCAAATCAGAGCTGACTGGTACAGGAGGAGATTGTTCCTCCTTCTCCAGCAGAGCATCTGGTAGGTTTGAACCGTATACCTCTGGGATTGCAGTGCAGCTTCTTGCCATTAGACCACCAGAGCTCCCTCCAAAGACTTTAATTTTAAAAGGAATCTTAAGGCATATTAGTTTTTATTACTTCCTCAGATTACTGTTTAGCTAATGTAAATATCTACTACCTCTAAAATGAGTCTTCCTCTAGTCATGATGCTTTAGTCTTCATGTTGTCCAAATTCTCAAATATGGCATCAAGATTGGCAGAAGACTCATCAGTGATCTGCATAATGCAGACTATACAGCCTTGCTTGCTAAAAGTAAAAAGAATGAAATACTTGTGCATAAAATCAAAGATGACATTCTTCAATATGGTCTTATCATCAAGCAAACAATTTCTCACCACTCCTTGAAAGATAAAATATTGATGTTGTCAAGACTTCATTTTGCTTGAATTCACAGTCAATGCCTATTGGTAACAACAGCCAAGAAATAAAAAAGATTTATTGCACTGGGAAAATTCTGCTTTTAAAAAATTCTGAAGTACTAAAGAGCAAAGATGTCAATTTAAAGACTAACCTATGCCTGATAAAAGCCATGAGTTTTAAGTTACTTTATATGCATCTTAAAGTTTGATAGTGATTAAAAAGGGCTAAAGTTGGATAGTGACCTCACATACTTGGTGCTTGTTGCCAGGAGGAACCAGTCCTTGGAAAATGACAGCATTTTGGGGAAGGTTATGGGTTAGAGAAAGAAGATGACCCTGAACAGGATGGAACAGTGATTGTTAACAGTGGGATTGAGAATAACAGAGATGGGGAAGATGGCACAGGACAAGTTTTGATACATTGTTTGTAGGACTGTGATAAGTCGAAGTTGAGTGGCAGCTAACAATAGCAAAAACTAAAATGAATCATTTGAATGTTGTTTACAGAGAATTTGCCCTATTAGACATAAATATACTATGCTCCATGAATCCGCCTTTTGACCTCTCTCTACAGTGTGCCAAAAGGCAAAATAAGTTTTGTGTATATTTGCACAATGAATAAATTTAACAGTATTCTTTGCACATATATTTTGAGAGAAATATTTTATCCTAATTATAATCTGATTCTGCAACTTATTATAGGATATTAACCTGGTCTCTGCTAATTCATTAACATTAGAAAATTGGAATGTGTAGTTTTTAAATTACATTATTGTGTTTAAAATCTTTTCTTTACTACATTTCAGCTTCCCCCATGGTTCAAGTTGATGAGAAGGGTGAGAAAGTGAGGCCAAGTCATAAACGATGCATTGTTATTCTTAGAGAAATTCCAGAAACAACACCAATAGAGGTAAATAAAGCTAAATGTTCTTTAGTTTAAAAATGGAGATGCTAAATAAGCAGTGATCTGCTTATTTATTGTGAAGATGATAAATACTTGTTTTGTAAATTCTGAAATGCTAGAAGCACAATACAGAGTAGAGAATATCATTCTGTCTGTAGGCTAGTAAGTCATGAGTACTGTCTTTGGGACCTTTAGGATTTATCTGGTAAAATGAACCTAGATAGAAATGAAAACGTTTTAGTAAGGATTAATTAGGCAAAGCTAATCTTACAGGTTGCCAAAATACAAACCAGAACTGCAAATTATGATGTGTCCAAATATAAGAGTTGTTGTTGTTGTTGTTGTTAAGTGCCATCAAGTTGTAGACGACTCATAGCAACCCTATCAGTGAAAGACCTGAATAGTTGTATAACTTTATTTTTAAAAAATAAATAAATAAAATATTAATTTTAGTGAAAGTTTATGGAGACTTAGGGTTTCCACTCTTTCGTTGTTGCACTTTTCTCCTGCCCACCCCCTCCCCCCTCTTCTCCTTGAAAAGTAAAAGAAAAACCTTTTCCTTTTATGCATTCCCTCCCTCCCTGCAACCTTCATTCTGGACTCCTCTCATGACAATACTACCCAATCATATATCCCTTTAAAACAGTTCTCTCCCTCATGTGTTTCAGTGCAGTATACATCATTCCTCCCCTCCTTCTCTGTCTTCCCTCAACCCTGTTATCAGTCCCGTTTCCTAACAGTGACCCTGTGCAATATTTGTCCTTTTGTGACTGAGATATTTCACTCAGCATAATGTTGTCCAGGATCATCAATTTTGTATAATATTTCATGAGTTTGTTGTTTTTTAGTGCTGCATAGTGTTCGATTGTATGAATATACCTCCGCTTCTCTGTCCATTCATTTGTTGCTGGGCACTTGGGTTGTTTCCAGCTCTTTGCTATTGCAAACAAATCCACAATAAACACGGATGTGCATATAGCTGCTTGGGTGGCAGTTGTGGTTTCTTTAGGGTAAATCCCCAGTAGTGGAATTGCTAAGTCAAATGGTAACTCTACTTGCAAATTTTTGAGACAGCACCATATAGCCTTCCATAGTGGTTGCACCATTTTAGACTCCCACCAACAGTGATTAAGGGTTCCAGTTTCTCCCCAACCTCGCCAGCATTTGATGTTTGCTGTTCTGCTAAATTTTGCTATTCTTAGTGGGGTGAGGTGTAACTTTCATCATTGCTCTAAGTTCATAGAGTTTCCAGAGGCAAGCTATTTCAGAAATGGATGCCACTCCTCCTTCCAAGCCACTCCTGCATAAGATGATATTTTAATGAGACAATAATGCAGAAATAAATGTTTTTATGTAACACTTAATTAGTAATTAGGTTTTACGAAGTGCTATGCAATTCCTTTCTGGTTAAAAATCCATTGCTGGAGGGTTGAGGTGTGGGGTTTTTTTGGTGGTTGTTGGTTTTTCCCCCCAAGTACTCCCTATTTCTATAATTTTATGAGGTCTTTTAACCTAACTGTTTTATTATCAGGAAATTGTAAGTTTGTAAATTTCTCTTTGAGCTGAAATAAATGTTAGATAAAATGGACTTTGGAGTTACACAAAACTGAGTTTGAGATGAACTTTGTGATAGTGTGAATAGATCAATCTCAGCCACTCTATGGAGATACTAAAACCTTCAAGTTAGCTGCTACTCATTGTCTGAAACAGTGAGGATGGCACAGGGTAGGGCAGAATTCAGGTAGACTGTTCATGGAGTCGCTATCTATTGTACTTGACTATGGCAGATTACTTCAAATGTTTCTAATTCTTCTTAAAATGTATAATGGACTTATTTAAATCTTAATGTTATTAAGATTTCCACTTTTATCATTCTGTAGTACCTTTTAATGTTTATAAAAATAAGAAATTCGATGACAAAATACATTTATCCTGACATTAAAAGGTCACAATCTCAAACCCACTAATTTTAATTTTTATTTCATGGTTTACTTTAAGGCATTAGTTGAAGTTGACTGCTTATTTTAGTCGTCTCTACTTCCTGTTAATAATTTAAAAACAAATAGTACATGATGACTTTATTTATGGTTTGCTAGGCATATTAGGTCTTGATGCATTAAGAATATGAAATTACACTTTCAGCGAATAAATTAGTGTCTGACCTTTGATAAGTGTGTATTTTTGTGGTTGTTGTTGTGTACCGTAGAATCATATCTGACTGGCACAGGCAGAGATTGCCCCTCCTTCTCCAGCGGAGTATCTGGTGGATTCAAACCCTGTGCCTTTGGGATTGGAGCACAGCTTCTTGCCACTAGACCAAGAGAGCTACCTCTATTGTTTCTTTATATAACTTTTCAGCATACTTAAAATTGCTTTAAGATTTTTTTTTTTATATCAGTTGTGGAAAAGAATACAATGATGCAAAGTTGATGTCTATAACTGTTGCAGTGAACCATTCAAATTAAATGAGAGTACTTAATCCCAGAAAATGTTAAAAAGGAGCAAGTCATTTCTTTTGGATAATGTCAGGAAAAGGATTTTACTGTAAGGATAATTTAGCTTGCCACTAGGAGAAAAAGCCTTCAGTTTTGCTGATCATAAAATAAGATTCCATTCTTAAACCAGCTACACATTTTATACTATAATTATGCCCTTTTTAAAAAGAACTACCTTCAGTAGGGGTCAAGGACTGCAGCCTTCAATATGGACTGAGGCTCGATGTCAAGAAGACAAAAATTCTCACCACTGGACCAATCGGTAGCATCAGGATAGATGGCGAAGAGATTGAGATTGTTCACAGCTTCAGTTTGCTCAGCTCCACGGTCAACACTCTTGACACCAGTAGCTAGGAAATAAAAAAACTGATTGCGATGGGAAAGTCTGCTGTTAGGGACCTCCCTAAAGTACTCAAGAGCAGTGATGTCTCTCTGGAGACTAAGGTGCACCTGATACAGGCTATGGTTTTTTGCAATCACTTGTTATGCATCAGAGAGTTGGACAATGACTAGGGAGGATTAGAAGGAGAATTGACGCCTTTGAGCTGTGGTGCTGGAGAAGAGTATTGAATGTACCATGGACTGCCAAGAAAACAGATTCATCCTAGAGAGGGTTAAACCAGGCTGCTCCTTGGAGGCAAGGATTCTGGGGCTTCGTCTGACATACTTTGGACATGTTGTAAGGAGAGACAGGTCTTTAGAGAGGGACATCATGCTGGGTAGAGTAGAGGGACAGCGCAGGAGGGGAAGACCCTCTATGAGGTGGATTGATTCAGTGACTGGGATAATCGGGATGGGTGTGTCAGAGGCAATGAGATTGGCACAGTATAGAGCATGGTTTAGGGCTTGTACATAGGGTCACTATGAGTCGCAAATGACTCGATGGCACATAACAACAACAACCTTCAGTAGAAAAATGGACAGAAGGTAAAAACAAGTGAAGAAGTAGAAAGGACATAAAGTGCTCAGTTTTTCTAGTAAACAGCAGCAACCAAAAAACCAACTACTGATATCTTTTTAAATGTTAGCTAAAAGATTTTTTTGTTTTAAAGGAAGTGAAAGCTTTGTTCAAAAATGAAAACTGTCCCAAAGTGATAAGCTGTGAGTTTGCACACAATAGCAGCTGGTATATCACCTTCCAGTCAGACACGGATGCACAACAGGTGAGAAATAATTTTTCCATTTAGTCCCAGTAGTGAAAGTAACACTTTATTTTAATTGAGGAATTATGTTCTTAGAGTAATGTTTATAAAGACTGCTGACAGTTTCTCATAGTTGAGTTCCCTCTTAATCATATTCCTAAAAAGTCTTTTCAATCTCAATAATAGTTTACCTATCAGTAATAAAGGATCAATACACAGTTTCAAAGTAAGATTGAGGGTTGGGAACCATGTACTTAGAGTAGTAGTGGCATAGTACATAGGAGGCATGCTGGTTCTTAATCTTTATATTTTGACTTAATAGTTTTAAACCATTTTGAAACAAAAATATCCATGTCTGTGACAGCAATTTTTAATTTCCTTTTAACTCATCAAGTTATCTGATCAGATCATTTCAGGATCTGTTTTGAATCTTGTGTCTTTTATGCCTGCAGTAGTCCATTATAGTTAAATAAAATAGTAAATAAATAATAAAAAAATAGTAAAATAAATGTGAATTTTAGCTGCCAACTGGGGTCTGACCTTTTTTTGTTTGTTTACATCACCTGAGTAATAGAATCACCTTCAGAATTTTTTTTGTTTGGTTTAGTGCCAGTTTTTTACATTAAACTCTTAACTCTAGGTTAAAGGTAGTTGTACTACAATATTTTCATCCTAATAAAAGGGTTTTTTCCTACTTTTTTATCAGGCTTTTAGATATTTAAGAGAAGAAGTGAAAACCTTTCAGGGCAAGCCAATCATGGTAAGAAAATTTTTAAACTTGAAACAAATTTGTTTTTTTTAAATTTGGAAAATAATTACAAAAAGAATTTTAAAGGAATTCCTGACTTACTTGACTTTTTGCCTCACAAAATTGGTTTGTAGATCTTGTCAACCCCAATCTAAAATTTTATAAATAGCAATATGGCCGTTCAGTCAGATGCTACTTCAGACATATAATTCCAGATCTCAAAATATGCAATACTTTTTCACTATCAAGGCAGAACATTTTGGTACTTGTAACCTCATCTGAGTAACAGCTTTTTGACAATGTAATCATGATCGTTAATGACATTTGCTCACTCAATTTACATGTCTAAACCCACTCATGTCTGGTCAAAGGACTTCACTCCCTTCTTGCCCCTGTGAAGCTAGAAACAATAGGAGTAGTTCTTAATTGTTTGCTGGACCTCTAGCTTTTTTTTCTCCATTACAATTCATTCTCTGTGTTGCTATCAGGACTATGTTCTAAATATACACTGTTGGCAGACTTAGAAATTGCTTGTGTACTTTAATTGTTCTCAATTGTTTGTAAATGTGAAACATTGTTCTTACTAACTCCTCTGTGGAACTCTTATTTATCACCTTACATTCTAAACACTTGACAGTTATTAACTCATTCAGTCTGAATAAACAATAATGAGATCGATGCTGTCACTTTATTTGTTTTATAGATGAGGGGCATGAAGCACAAGAATAACCTGCACAGACTCATTGTATATATTAGTACAAAAATCTGAATGAAGGAAACTTATTATTTTATACGTCAAACTCTTCTTGGACTTTGCCCTATTCAAATCTCACTGGATATTGGTGGTAGTGATGGTCCTGGCCTTGTCTATATGGAGTTGAGCTGCTAACCCAAATGTGACATTTCTGGCAATTTCAATCAACTGGCATTTCCAAGGGAGTGAGATGGACAATCTCCTCCCATGTAACTTAAAACCTCTGTAAACATTTTGGAGGGTAGCTGTGGATTAATTCCAACTCGGTGGCAGTGACTTGAGTTGGTTTGAGATGATGATTTCGTTGTTGCTGTTCTTATGTCCTTTTAAATCAGAACTGGCCCATAACTAACCCTCCAGTGGGTTTTCAGAGGCAGTAAATCAGAGGAGATAACCAACTTTCTGCCACAAAGCAACTGGTGGATTTAAACCACGTGCCTTCAGCTTGACAGTGCAATACCTTAGACCTCCCTGTGGTACTAGTTTGCTGAGAAAACACTATGAACAGTTGCTGTGTTGCTTGGGATTCCTATGACTCAAAATCAGCTCAGTGATACTTGACAACAACCTCGTGTAAGCAATCTAATTTTTTTTTCCCCGTATGTAGAAAGCCAATTATCTCATCTGTTTTTATCCTTCCACAATTTTATATCAATACCTCATTGTAATTCTTTCTTGCTGGACCAATATCACTGTCTTAATTACTGAACCTTTACAAAACACATTATGCAGATTCTTATTATTTTCCGTGTATAAATTTAGAGCAGTAATATGACTTAAAATGAGTCTGTTCAGAATTGCTACTTCAGCTTATGTTGTTTTAATCATGCATTGAATTTCTAAAATTTTGTCCATTTCCATGGAGTTTTCAGATTTGTTAGAGTATACTTATTCATATTTTTAGGTGCCGTTGAGTACAATTCATAGAAATCCTGTGAAAACAGATCTCACTCCTGTCCTACCTGTGTCGTCATCATCATCTCTGAAATACTTGAGCCCATTGCTGTAGACACTATCAGTCCATCTTGTTGAAAGTCTTCCTTTCCTTTTCTGACCCTCTCCCTTTCCAAGAAATAACAAGTGTGTGATACAATGCTTTGCTATTCTTGCATCTAACGAGCAGTCTGGCTGTACTTTCTTTAAGGCATACCTATTTGTTCTTTTGTCAGTCCATAGGATATTCAGTACTCTTCTCCAACACCACAGCCTAAAGACACCTGTTCTTCTGTCATTCTTATTTGTAGTCCAGTTCCATGGTTTGAATCAGGCACACCATAGTCTTGTCTTTTCTTTTGTTTTAAAATTTATTTTTATTTTATACTGGTTTGCATACAAAATATGTATACATATATTTCATTCATGTACGTTGTGTTTCACACATTTCTTCATTTACATAATGGTTCTTATCATCATTCCCATATAATGTGTCCAGTAGTTAGCAATGCTAAGGCCAGTTAGTGGTTTGTTTTTTGTGATGTGTGGTTTTTTGCTTTTCTTTTCCATTTTTTAAAATTGTCATTTTAATGAAAGTTTACAGAAAAGATAGATTTTCATTCATTTATGGTTACTCATTTTCCTTCCTACATCCCAGTTCACTTTAAAAAAAAAATTCATTCATTGTTGCATAATTTCCTCTTTATCTCTTCCAATTCAATGTTCAATATTTTTCCCATTTTCTTACCCCCATCCTCCATGTCAGTCCTGTTTTACAGTATTTGTCCTCTTGTGACTGAGATAATTCACTTAGCACAATGTCCTCCAGGTCTGCCCATGATGTGTAATATATTATGTTCCTTGTTTTTCAGCACTGCATAGGTACTACATTGTGTAAATATACTGTAGTTTTTCTAACCATTCATTTGTTAATAGGACACATCCATAGTCTTTAAACTGACACCATTGCTCTTTAGTACTTTAGAGAAGTCCTTGATAGCAATAATAATTATTCCTAGTATTCACTTAGTCTTTTTATTTCACTTTGTTCTGTTGTGATGTTTCTTAATTGTGTTATTTTGTATCTTTGGTAAATTTGTCAGTAACTCAACTTTTTTTTTAATCCTTTATAGAGGTACCAATTCCAGCTGATTCTTGCTATCTTGCTATTGTTTTTCAGATTGCTCTGATATTATCTGTATTATTTCTTATCTCCTGGAAACTGTAGGCTCTGCTTGCTGTTCTATTTCATAGTATTAGAGATAGTGGATTAAGGCATTGATTTTGGTTCCTGATGTGTGATTTTAATATTCCTATAGATTGACCTCTTAAGTATTGCTGATGCTATACTTAAAATGTCACAAAAATTTCAATATGTTGTGTTTTCATTCTCATTTGTGTCAAGTTTGGGTTGGTTGTTTTTCCAACTTTCTTTTTATTTCTTCTATTATTCAGAAATGTTCAAGCAAGATGTTACTTGGTTGCCATATGCTGGATTCCTCCTCCCCTTAATCCTCCCATTAAATTCTGATTTTATAGCATTTGTGATCTAAGAAGATGCTTTGTTATAGTTCTGTGACATTTTGTCTGTTTTCAGAATGCTCCTTGTGTCTTGGACAAATATGTAGACGGTTTTTTAAGTAGAGTGCTCTGTTACAGCTGCAGAAGGAGCAGGTACAACTTGGGGGTGGCTGAGTCTGAATTCTACCCACCTCATAAAGGGGAACTTTATCAATAATATCCATAGTAGTATTCAGATAGTTACATAGTCAATCATGCCACCCAACATGCTCCTATTGTACCAATTATTGGGTCTAATTCATTGTTGACTCAGACTTTATGCATAATTGTGGGGCTTATTAGGGAAATAGGTTGAGGAGTCAGTGAAGCAAAGAATATCTCACAGTACAAGTCCAAGTTTAGCCCAGCAGTGCCCAGCAAAATTAACAAGCCACAATTCCTCAGTTAGTGAAAGTTTGGGTTTCAGTTCAGCAGCGCAAATGCAGGAAGCCTCTGGTTTCCTCAGTCATACAGAAAACTGTATCTCAGAGTTACAGGGCAGATTTTCCTTCAGTCATCCTGTCATCATGCTAGGTGGTCAGTGTTGAAGGAGCAAATTCAAACTCAGCCTGTCTCTTTATTATTGCATATCTCCCACATCCGCTTATTAAGTGGAAATCATTTGGTTAATTGTATTGTTTGCTTCGTGTTTTTGTGTTTAAGTGATATGTTGAAGTCTCCTGTTATTGTGGATTTTTCTATTTCTTTCTCAGATCTGTTTGATTTATGTATCTTGTAGCTCTTTAATTGGATGTGTACATTCTGATTATAGTTTAGTTAACCTTTGACCATTTATATAATTGTTCTTCCTTTGCTCTTATGTTGTTTATTGCCTTAAAGTTTATGTTACTGTGCTCAGTTCGGCATAAGATATACTAAAATTGGAATGAAAGAAGATTAGCATGGCCCTTACAAAAAGATGACACTCAAGTTTGTGGAGCATTTCATATATTTTTGTCAATTTTATTGCTACCATTTTGTTGTACTCTTTTTTTGTGATGTTATTGATTTCTTTGTACATATGTGATTTCATAGTGTATTTATGATTTTATCTATATTTCTATACTGAATTTATTTTGTTGGGATTTTTTTCAAAAGGCATCTCTTCAACTTTTAATAGAAAATGATCTAGAAAAAGAAGAAAATTTGCACACCAGTTGTTGAATTCAAACAAATAAACAAACTTCCTCAACTTAAATAGCTAACAAATTTCAGTCACATTCCCTGTCTTTAGATTGGATTACAAAACAGGAATTGACAAATCAATGTCAGCCCCTTTAAAGAAGATGTTGTTAATGTGCTGTCAAGTCTCCTGTGACTCATAGCAACCCTGTGTACAACAGCCGTAAACCCTGCTCTGTCCTGTTCCAATCTTACTGTCTCTGACCCACCTACCCTTGTTATCCCAGTCACTGAATCAATCCATCTCATCGAGGGTCTTCTTTTCTTTTGTTGTCACTCCACCCTCCCAAGCATGACGTCCATCTCCAAGAACTCATACCTCCTTGTAACATGTCCAAAGTATGTCATAAATCTTCAGAATCCTTGACTCCAAGGAGCAGCCTGATCTCACCCTCTCTAGAAAGAACTTTTGTTTTCCTAGCAGTCCATGGTATATCCAGTACTCTTCTCCAGTACCACAGCTCAAAGACATCAATTCTTCTCTCATCCCTAGTCATTGTCTGCTGTTTTAAAAACAAAACAAAAAACCATTCAGAAACCTGCTGGACAATTTTTAGAGTCCACTGGAGCTTGCCTTGATCAT